TTATAATTCAGTGGCAATAATATTATGCTTCTTTCATATAATAAATTCTATAGAGATCTTAATATATGTGAGTACTGTGATAAACTTGAAGGATTAGGGTTAAAAATAGAGGGAAATATACCTGCCTCAATAAAGATAATAGAAGGACTAAATTAAAAGAAGTAATATGTGCAGTAAAATTGGCACATTATGTGATGTGTAATAATCATTTATAAAGAATCCCAGTCATTACTGGAAGCCAGTGTATGATTGTAATCTACTCAAGGGAAGAAACTGTGTCTTGTTCATTGTTATTATACCTATTATACACAGAAGAATGCTAACTATCTGGTGTTTCACAAAATGGACCATTAGAAATATAATATTCACGTATGTATCTAAGTCCATTTTATTATATTTTTGCATTCAGCTGTTACATTACCTCTTGATCTACAACTGTTTAAGGTCTATTGCTTTCTGCTCTGTAAAATAACACTATGGTTTATTTGCTCATAAACTATTCCTTAGCAGAGCATGGTGGCACACACCTATAATCCCAGCCCTCAGGAGGCTGAGGCAGGAGATTTGCTGCAAGTTAAAGGCCAGCCTGGACTATGCAATGAGTTCAAAGCCAGCCTGCACTACAGAGTAAGACCCTGTCAATAAATGAATAAATAAATTAAATTTAAAAATCATAAACTATTCGGGACATCCCCAATTATAATATACCAAGATTTGGTATTACCCTTCTAGTCTACACACTCCCAGTCTGAAGACCAATCTTTTAGAATGTGCGTAGATATGGGCCTCTCATCTCACCAACCATTTTATGTTGCCTCCCCAGACTTTCTTGATAACAAAGGATTAAAAATATATAATGTTTTAAAAATCATATGCTAAGTGACCTATACATCGTCATAAATAATTACAAATTGATCATGAGAATATCTGCTAAAAAACAAAAATACTTACGCATTTTGGAATCCATACTCTCCAAGTTTCTCATAAAGTTCACAGTTCTGTTGGACTAAATTCTTAGGCTCATCTATCAGAGGCTGAAGCTCATCAAACTGGAAGATAAAAGAACTGTGCTTCAAACACCAGTCAATGCTGGAGAGGATGAGGGGAAAATGGAGTTCTCCTATGTTGCTGGTGGGCATGTAAACTAGTATGGAGATTTGTCCATAAACTAAAAATATAGAGTCTGAAAAATAAAATGTATACACATTTCAGCAGTTGGATGTACTAATAAATGTCTGGAAGCTAATGATCACCACTGTGAGCACCTTTTGTCATTGTAGAGGCAATGGTAACTTGTATTAATCCCATGATGTCTCAGTAAATTTAGCATTAAAATATTGTCACAAGTTTTTCTTTTCTGATGTATACTTTTTTGGTGGACTCTGTATAAAAATCCCATCTGATTCAGGTACATCTCTCATGGGTATACTCCCAAAAGAAAAGGCATCACAGTGCAGTGATACGTGTATACCCATGTTAGTATACAGCAGTGCAATTCATGACACAAGCTCTGGAGACAGCTGAGATGACTTTCCAGAGATGAATGGATAAAGAAAATGTGGTATATA